GGAGGGGCAGCAACCTGCCCGGGTAGAATCAACACAACAAATAATCCTGACTGACCCTCTCTTTGCCAATTGTGCTGACTTCTGTCCTGTGTGAGCTGAAGGGTCCCCTGAGCTGGTGACAAGATCACAGCTGGAGGAAGATTCCAGAATGAGCTGGGCCTTTCCAGGAAAAGAGATCTCATCTGCACAATAGGGTGTTTGTCAGTGTCRGGCAGCTGAGCCGCCCCCTGATTTGATGCTGGACACAGGAACTCTGGCTGCKCGTCTTGGTAGGAAAGTGGTCGGGCAGGAGAGCAAGTCCTGGGGGCAGCTGCTCTCTAGGGGGCGGAGGCTTGGGAGTGGAGCTGTGTTTAGGCGCTTTTCCAAGGTGTGCTTCTCTGTCCTAAGAGAGCCCTTTAACTCCAAGGCAGGCAGAGGAAGGCGTGGTCAGAGGGTCACCTGGAGCCAAAGCTCTTTTTTAAAAATATTTATTTTTAGCACTAGTTGCTCACAATACTTTCATTTTATTCATCTTTAAGTGGTGCCAAGGATCGAACCCAGGGCCTCCTCGCATGTGCTTAGGCGAGCACTCCACCACTGAGCCCCAGCCCCAGCCCCAAAGTTGTTTTTTATGATGTGATGAGGGTGAACTGCTGTCTCTGTTCAGAGACCACATGGGGGCTGGAGGAGAACACAAGTTCAGGGGCCTGGGAACCGGCCACTGGGATGGTACTCAACAGTTTTTACCTTTTTCTGCACTGGGCATTGAACCCAGGGGGTCTCACTGAGTTGCTGAGGCTGGGATTCCAGGTGCCCCCCACCCTTCCAGCAGTTTTGATTGTCCTGGGAGAGTCATGGCAAAAGCATCTGGCCGTGCCGATGCCCTGGTCTCTGGTCAGGTCGTTGAAGTGGGTGGGTAAGGCACACACCAAGCTTTCAACTCCTAAGCATTAAGGAGAGAAGAGGGGAGAATCAAACACAGACACCACCTTTTGATGGCTGTTGTTCAACCCCAGAGCTGCAAAGGCCCCAGCAGGTTTTCTGATTCCAAAGAAAACCCCCCAGGAGCGGGTCTAACATTTTATTCTCCGTGCTCCTGGCGGCAGCCGCTGGGAGAGGACTGAGGGCTGCCCTGAGGCGAGGAGCAGGGGTGTCTGCCGGAAGGGTGGCCTGCCCACTGCACCCAGGCTTTCTTCAGATGTTTTGGGGGTACACCGTTTACTTTGCAGCCAAGGTCTTTCTGTTTTGATCCCCACCTGAAGATTGGAGGTAGGGGAAGGCCGCCTCYGGCATCCTGGGGTGGTTCTGGGTTCCCCTTCAGGAATCTCAAGCCTGACTGGAGTCTGCACCAGGCCCGGCGTGAAGGGCCAGCAGTGCACTGGCCCTGGGTCCCCACACTGGTCTCTAACCACCTCAGGCTGAGGAGTGGGCTGGAAGGAAAAGGAGCGGAGCCGCCACCCATGTGCAGTGGCGCACACCTACAAGCCCAGCAGCTGGGGAGGTTTAGGCAGGAGGATCACCAGCCTCAGCAAAAGCAAGGCACTAAGCCACTCAGTGAGACCCTGTCTCTAAATAAAATACAAGATAGGGCTGGGGGTGTGGGTCAGGGGTTAGGGGTTAGAGTGTCCCTGAGTTCAATTACCCCAGACCAAAAACAAAAAGGAGTGGGGTGGGGAGGCCTTTCCCTGGAGAACACTCTTATCTGAGGGGCCATGCTGGGTTGGAGCAGGCCACCGGAGGCCTCTATCCACTGCCCTCAGGGGCCCCACCCAGGGAGCCCGGCAGCATGGGAGGAAAGACCACGCCCGTGGGGGTACAGCGGGGAGTGGCCGCCGTGGCCATCTTAAGCCAGGGAGAGCTCAGAAGGAGGCTGGCTGGTCTYGGGCTTCCAGCCTCCAACTGTGAGAGAGCACACTGTGGGGCTACGTAGCTGGCTGACAGCATCTTATTATGGAATCCAAGTCATTTTACTCCAGGAGCTCATCCTCTGAGAAATCGAGTCAGCCTCGAAGGGGGTCCATCCCACCTGGCGGTGACTGTGTGGTTCAGACCATCAGGGACAAAAGGACAGGAGTTCCCTGGCCTTACTCCACCCTTCCGGTCCCACTAACATCCCCCCACCCCCATGGATGACACCAAGATGCCTCCATGATTTTCCACAGGGAAGAAAATCCTAAGAATGTTTACCACACTCTCGGCCAGTGGGATAGCAGCCCCCAGGCCACCCGGGCTGCTCCATCCGAGGGCTGTCCCTTCCTCTGCTCGGGACCCAGCCTGAGTTTTCTCTCCCTCAATGTTGTTCTTTCTGGAGCTGAAGCCCCTCTCCTTCTCCCAGTTAGAGCCTGGCCTGGTCTCTCTTTTTCTTTCTTTTATTTTATTTATTTATTTATTTATTTATTTTTATTTTTAAAATTTTTTTTAAAGAGAGTGAGAGAGGAGAGAGAGAGAGAGAGAGAGAGAGAATTTTTAATATTTATTTTTTAGTTCTCGGCGGACACAACACCCTTGCTGGCATGTGGTGCTCAGGATCGAACCTGGGTCGCACGCATGCCAGGCGAGCGCGCTACCGCTTGAGCCACATCCCCAGCCCCTATTTATTTTTTTTTAAACCAGGAATTAAATAAACCCAGAGGCGCTTGACTGCGAAGCCACATCCCCACCCTTTTATTTTATTTTATTTATTTTTTAATTTTTATTTTTTGACAGAGCCCTGCTAAATTGCTGAGGCTGCCTTTGAACTCAATCCTCCTACCTCAGCCTCCGAGTCGCCCGGATTACCGGCGTGCCCCACTGCACCTGGCCAGACCGGGCCGGGTTTCATTTTCATTGTCACTGAGTCAGAAGTTCCGGTGGCAGGTACCATCCTGATGGGGGAGGGGCCCTGCGGATGCGGGAGGTGGCAGCCACCCAGGCAGYCCCAGAGGGGAGGGGAGTCTGGTCCCCTGGGGAGGGCCAGAGGAGGCCGGGGAAACAGCCATGGAAGTAGCACAAGGAGGCCCCTCATGGGAGAATCTTCTGCAGCTTCTTGACCTGGAAGTGGTAATTTCTAATCAGGTTCTTCCAAGGCCGGAATGGCCGTCCGTCGTAGGGGTGCACAAAGTTCTCCCAACAGTGCTCAAACTCTGTGAGGGAGGAGAGGAGGGRCAGTCAGAGCCCTGCAGCCTGCTCCCCACCCCCAGGCTGCCCCAGCACCGGCTCCCTGTGTCCCCTCCCACTGCTTTGGAGACCAGGCCTGGCCTGACCCTCATCCTGGTTCCTTGGGCCACCCTGACCCTCTGCTCCTCACCTCTGAGGGACATGATTTCCACCCTGGCTCCTTCCCGCTGCAGGGCGCGAAGCCCCTCTTGGTATGAGTGCTTCCAGAAGTAATAGAGGCGGGCGGCATAGATGGTCAAGCTCAAGTTGGAGTGGCTGGCCAGGAAGGCGGCCACCTGCTGTGCACAGTCAGAGCAGGGACTCCAGGAGATGAACCAGGTGATCTGTAAGTGCTGGTCGCGGAGCTGCAGGAGGTAGTCGTGCAGCCAGTAGAGGAAGCACAGCTCGGCGTGCAGGCGGGTCTCCGGGAAGACCTGGGGGTGGGGGAGGCGAAGCCCCGGTGGAGGAGGGGCGGGGCGGGGCTGTGGCTTTTCATCCATTCTCTCCGTCGCTCCCCTTCTCCCCTTTTGAATTTATTCACTCTCCCAGCTCCCAGGTGGCCCTGGGCCAGCATGCCTAGCCCTGCTCTGGCCAGGTCGGGGGAGGGCACCAAGCTGCACCACCCCACGGGGAGGAGCCACTGGCCACAGGTGGGTACGGAGCACTTGTGACTCATCTGAATTCGAGACCCTGGGCCCTGCATATTGCAAAAATGAAAAAGTACGTCATCCTGGGAAGAGTTTTATGGGTTGAAATGCTGTTAGGCATATTGGACTAAATGAATTCCGCCCATTCCTGACCACTTGGTGGACTGTGGGCATTGGAAGAGTTTAAATGAGAGACATGATCCATTCGCCTTCCATTGGGTAGCTGGGCTGCAGAGCAGGCCTGCCCACCCCAAAGGGCTCCCTGCCCTCCAAACGCTTGGGACAGCTGAGCACCGGTGGCAGGCCGGCAGGTGTGTGGAGGGGATGTGACTGCTCTGGGTAGGGGCTGCAGGGGTGGCACTGGATCTAGCAATGGCYGGTTCTGGTCATGGCTGCCATATGGGGGCCCAGGGAGGCCCTTGCTCTGAGTGGGCTGGGGGCAGGCAGGGGCAGGCACAGCGCCCAGTGTGTGGTAACAGGTCCTCTCTGTGCAGGGGTCAGGGGTATGGCAGCCCCACAGACATGAGGGCCCGATAAGACGCTGGGGAGCTGGGGTTGGGGCTCAGAGATGTGCGAGGCCCTGGGTTCGATCCTCAGCACCACATAAATAAATAAAATAAAGGTACTGTGTCCACCTACAATTAAAAAGTAAATGTTAAAAAAGAAGACTCTGGGGGCTCAGGGCCCCAACCTGCTAGATGTCCTATCCTCAGGACTGTTAGACACGCGGAGCCTCAGGACAAGGTTTGCCTGTAGACTGCTGAAGAAGGCCTCTGGGGGAGTCAGACGCCTTTGTGTGTCAGGCCACAGGACAGGAGTCCCAACTCTGGCTTTTTACTGATCTCCTCTGCGTTCTCAACTGGAGTGGCTCCTGTCTACCATGTGAGAGGAGTCTGGCCGATACCTGGGTTTTAAAGACCCCTCTGTGAATGGGGACAGTTGAGTCACGCTCCTCTCTATCCACCTGGTAGCACAGGAAGGTGTTGTTCCGGCCCAGGGCCCAGCGAAGGTTCCGGAAGTGGAAGAGGAATGTCTTTCGATATAAACGCCTGATCTTGTTTCTGGAGGCAAGAAAGGAGACACCGAGCGAACCCCAAGTTGCTCTAAGCTGCTGTCCACTGAGCCGGTTCCCTGGGTCCCCCTAGGTGCTCCCCAATCCTCTGCAGCTCTGAGAACTTCCGCCATGGAGGGCCTGTTGGACCCACCCGGGGTCCCAGCTCTGATCCTTCCAGTGGGACGCCCCCCCACCCTGCCCACTCAACCCCCAACCCGAAAGAAAAAGACCAAACCCCCTCACCCCAAGTGTGAGCTTTGAACGTCTCGCCTCTGTTCATTCCTGACTCACACTGTGCATGCTGTCTTTGTTTTGTTCTGTTTTTAAATCAGGGGACCACCTGAAGTCTCGGGCACAAGCCACGGTTCTGCAATTTCTCCTCATCTTTCATTCTTGTGTCCCCCGTCATCTGGGTGGTTCAGCTCTAAGAGGTCTCATCTCTGCGGTTGGGGGTGTGCTTGGGGACCCTGGACAGTCCCTCTTGGGCTCAGTGGAGGTGACTCCTTCAGTCTCAGAGCTCCCTCCTCCCCCTCCCTCTCCTGAGACTTCAGGCTGACAGCCGCACGGGCTTGAGCACAACTGCGGGTTCCTTCCATCAGTTTGCGTTGGGTTCTGATTGATAACAAGACTGGCAAACCGTGGAGCCAGGCTGCCTGCACGGGGCAGGAGGGGCAGCCAGGGGGCACTTTCAGACAGCTGCAAAGAAAGGGCCACGGGGCTGGGGGAGGGGGAGGAGGGTGGCACATTCAGAAGCTGCCATGGGCCCCCTCCAAACCGGCAAAGACCCCGGGGGGTGCTGTGGAGGAGCCTGGAGAAAGAGAACTCAGGCCTGGGTGGGGGAGAGACCAGGAGAGAAGCACTATGGGGCCGGGAGGGGGACCCCAGGAAAGGAGGTGCTGCAGAGGGGGCCGGTGGGCAGAAGGGCCAGCGGTACCTGATGTCTGGGGCTGGGTTGTAGCATCCCAGGCAGGCCCCGGGTCTCTGGTTCTGGGGCTCCATTTCCTGATTTCAGGGCCTTTGCTTTGGCAGCCCCCTGATCGATCAGTGAGTGACCTCCAGGGCCATCTGAGTGCCGGCCCCACCTTCTTCCTGGTTTGGCACCGGAATGGGAGGGCCTAGGGTGGGTTTTCTGCCTCAGGCTCAGACACCTTCTCTCCTTCCCTCTGCCCCCCGCTGGGCAGAGCAGGACACCGCCCCTAGATGAAGACCGGCCCCTCGGCCGCAGGACCACAGGAAGCGCAAAGGGAAAGAGAAAGTAACTGATCCCAGAGCGGGAGGAGGGCGTGGGCCCTGGAGAGGGAGCAGGGCAGACGCCCCCCCTGCAGGCTGGACAGTCTGGGTCTCGCTCATCCGGGTCCAGAGCCCAGCGCTGCACCTGCCTGGGGAATGGCGGGTGATGGGCAGGGACGGTGTGGATTCCAGACAGGGCCTCCTGTGTCCGGTCCTTGCACCGGAGCAGGGAAGGGCAGACACGGATTTGGTTCCTGATTCTGTGCTTGGATCTTCCCATCTGTCTCCTCATCCAACTTCCCAGCCAGTAACCCCAATGGGACCGATGGGCACAAAGACTCCAAGCTGGTGATTGACAGCTCAGGAGCAGGTAGCTATAGGTGGCAGAGCTGGAATTGGTGATCTCATGCTGTGGGCTTTCTCCACAGTCCAGGCTGCTTCTCCCTGCAAAATCAGAGACAGTAGTCTTGCCACCTCTCAAGGGTGGAGGTCTGAGCCAACAAATGCCACACCAACACACGAGCATACAATACACACAGCTTTCTAATTGTTTTAAGTCCATCCACGGATAAAACCTAGGGTGCTTAACCATGGAGCCACATCCCCAGGCCTTGTCATTTATTTTTGAGACAGGGTCTCTAAATTGCTTAGGGCCTCCCTAAATTGCTGAGGCTGGCTTTGAACTTGAGATCCTCCTGCCTCAGCTTCCTGAGCACTGGGATTAAAGGCCTGCACCATCTTTCCCAGCCTAAAACCTAGAATTCTTTGGAGGAATCAAGGTCCATTGTGTCCTCCAATAATCATTCTGAATATCATGTCCTTCAACTGGATTTTGTCCCAGATGAAGGTGTGCTCTGTGCCAGGCCCTGGGCTCCTCTGAAGGCAGAACCCATTGGGAAGGCTGATGAACGGCTGTTAGGATGCGCCACAGCGCCCCCTCCTGGCGGAAGGCGATCCTACCTCTCCACAAGGTAGAGCTTAGGGTTGAACTTTCAAGGTGGGTTTCTGTTGCTTTGGAGAACAAAGGGGCACAGGACAAGGACATCAGTGGAAAATACATACTTCCACTGATCAGAAGCAGACACATTTTATAAGAAAATGAAGTGAAGAACACAGACCCAGAAGTCATCCCTGAACCCAGCTGTGGGTGAGAGGGAGGTACTGTGGTGGAGGGACCAGCTTTACAGCCAGGCACATCCTAACTCTGCCCCTTCCTTACCGTGTGGCCTTGGGTGACTTACTGAATGTCTCTGATATCCTTCATCTTTAAAAGGGCATTAATAATATGCATCTTATAGTTATTGGGAAAGTCAAATGTGATTGGTTTATGTAAAGAATTTAGCAAAGCACCTAGAATGTTAAAAGAATGGAAGACCTAASAGTTATGGCCCAGCTGGGGGTTGAACCCAGGGTCTCCCCCATGCTATACATGTGCTCTACCACCAAGATACACCTCCAGCCCTGTTCGTTTTTGTTTTGTTTTTTGGTGGTGCTGGGATTGAACCCAGGTCCTTGTGCAGGCAAGGCAAACACTCTACCAACTGAGCTCTATCTCCAGTCCCTGTTAATTTGTTGTTTTAAAACATTTTCCACTAACAAGGTGCAGTGACCCATGCCTGTMATCCCAGTAGCTCAGGAGGCTGAGGCAGGAGGATCTCGAGTTCAAAGCCAGCCTCAGCCACTTAGCAAGGCCCTAAGCAACTTAGTGAGACCCTGTCTCTAAATAAAAAGTGGAAAAAGGCTGAAGATGTGGCTCAGTGATCGAGCACCCTCAGTACCCAAAACAAAAAACAAACAAACAAACAAACAAACAAGTGCCTCACCCTAGACCTCACTAGAATGCAAGAATACAAATAAAAAAATAGAATACCTTATTAAAAAAATTCCCACTGGACTTGGGGATGCATGTCTGTAATCCTAGGGACTCAGGAGGCTGGGGCAGGAGAATCCCAAGTTCCATGTTAACCTCAGCAATTTAGGACCCTCAGTAACTTTGACCCTGTCTCAGAATAAAACACAAAAAGGGCTGGAGCTGTACTTTAGTGTTAGCACACCTGGGTTCAATCCCCAGCCCAAGAAAGGACAATAATTTGTGTGTGTAGTTTCATTTCTAGGATGTGAGATAGATATATATAACAAAAACATGAACACATATATCCGTAAGTGACCGTTTGTGATAGTTCCATTCAAAGTGTTGGACGGGTCGTGTCAATAATTTACTTCTTTTTAGTACAGAATAGTATTTATGGCATGGATATGCTGTTTTGTTTTTGTTTTGGGGAGGGGGTTCTGGACATTTAACCCAGAGTCATGTTACCACCGAGACAGAGCCAGCCCTTTATTTCATTTTGAGACACCGACTCTCTAAGTTGCTCAGGGCCTCTCGAAGTTGCTGAGGCTGACCTTGAAATTGTGATCCTCCTGCTTCAGCCTCCCCATTGCTGGGATTATAGGTGTGTGCCACCAGGCTAGGCCTTGAGTATAGGTTTTTCTGTGATAAGTGCCCAAGCGTGTAATTGCTGGGCTTTACGTTTAGTGTGTGTTTAGTTTTATAAGACACCATGGAAATATTTTCTAGAATAAATGTGCCATTTTCTATTCTCACCAGCCATGTATGGTGGATCCAGTTTCCTCACCTCCTTCCCAGCGTGTGACCCTATCGCTGTTTTCCTGTTTGAAGCCTCTGGTGGGTTTACAGTGAMACTGTGGTTTAACGTTCATCTCCCCGTGGCTGATGAAGTTCACCATCTCTTGCTTTCTTCCTTCCCTCCTTTCTTTCTTCCACCCCTTTTTTCTTTCTTTCTTTCCTTCCTCATTCACTTCTTCCTCCCTCCCTTCCTCTCTTTCCCTCTTTCGTTTCGGTACCAGGGGTCGAACCCATGAGCTCTTAACCACATCCCCAGCCCTTCTATACTTTATTTTGAGACAGAGCCTCACTAACAGTTGAGGCTGCTTTGAACTTACAAGCCTCTTGCCCCAGCCTCCTGAGCCTCTGAGATCACAGCTGTGTCACACACACACACACACACACACACACACACACACACACACACACACGGTGATTTCTATCAAACTCACAGACATATCAGGCTCCACTGT